ACGAGTCAGAAGAAAGAACAGGCATGTTGAAGACACCCAGTGCTCACTAGTTTTGTGCACTTAGTACTTTCTGCATAAGCTTTGTGTAAGAAAAAAAAATGTTTAGATTAACATGCTCTTCTCGTATTTCCAAACAGATGTGTGAGTGAATCCTTGACCAAAATGTGGGACTTTAAGCAGAAATCTAAGTGTACAAACAGCAAGACAATGAAGATAATTTAAAAGTGATTTTTTTTTAACTTTACATTTATTGGAGTTCCAAGACAGAGTGTAGCACTGGAGACTGCCGATCATCACATCTGAAGCGTGCGGAAGGCAAACACATACACTCTATAGGCCGTTCTATGCGATGGCAGCTCAGCAACTTTGAAATCATGAGTCAAAGGCTGCCTGAGAGTGACTTGTCAGAAATAGGATAGATTTATAAAAACAGATAGAAGATCCACACATTGAAGAGGAATGATTTAAGACTTAATTTAATCTATTCACTTAATCCAATTTAAGTGTCTGAAAAATATAGTTTCTAAAACTCTGACCTCAAAGATGTAAAATTGCTAACACCACCACAACACACCTCACACAAGGAGGCAGTATGCCCATTACTGATGAGAAGTTCTCGTAGAATTTTTCACATTCCATTTCTGTCACTTCTCCAAGTCCTGTCAAGTGCCACTGGGTAGCTCTGAGCATGTGTGGGTCTTCCCCTCCACGAGTGGAAGGTTTGTATTTATTGAATATGTTTTTGTCCTGCAGCTGCCATATTGCCAGGGGAGAGCAGATGTTAGGCAAACATTTGTTTGAATTAAACTTAATTAGCTATGTTTCCATCCCCTATTTTTAAATGGCATATTCTGGGAAGTGATCCTAAAGTGGTTTGTATTAGAGGATGAAAAAGCTCAGAAAAAGCTAGAATTCACCAGCCCTATTTGCAATCTGAGGTGGTGGCAATGCTGAACAGGATTTGACCCCCTCCAGCTCTGGGGTATACAGTCACACGTCAGACAGAACACATCATTTTGTATTCTCAGAAGAGAAAATTCTGCCCTGTTGCCCCTAGCCAGTAAGTTCCTGAGGGGCTGGATAGCCTTCGATCCTGCCTCATCCAAAACAGCAGGTTTTACCCTCACTACACACCTAAGGTGACATCCATGGTTGACATCCACAAGTGAAAGACAAAATGGGAAACTTTACAAGCTAGAATTTTAGATTGTACATCACAGGTTGCAGAGATACAAACAACCTGAAAAATATCAACTGGGCAACAGCATAGGAATAGAAGTTCTAGATAGTGAAGACATTTAAAAGAACATAAAATAAACAAACCAAGAACCAGTAATTAGCTATTCCAGTTAAAGACCTAAAACTAACATGGGCAAGCATTTTGACATAGCAAAATGAAAGTGAACAGGCATTTTAATTATTTCTTGGGTAGTAGTCCAGCCTATAGACAAAGTGGTATGGGTTTGTATTTGTGTATTTTTTTATTAGAATTCAATATTTAGCCTAAAATACATTTTTCTTCGGACAGTAGAGACAGCTCAGTGGTTAAGAGCACTGACTGTTCTCCCAGAAGATCCAGGTTTGATTCCCAGCACTCAATCATTTGTAGCTCCAGTTACAGGGAATCTGATGCCCTCTCTTGGCCCTTGTAGGCAACAGGCATGCATGTGCGCAAAGACATACATGCAGGTCAACATCTATTCAAATAAAATAAAACAAAAATACATCTTTCTCACCTGAACTAATGACAGAGTGAGAGTATCTGAGAGGATTAATTAAGGTATCACAGTATGGGGCCTGACAAGAAGTAGCACTTGATCTATTCGGGCTCCCCTGAAGTGAATGTGATGCATCTTAATAACCATGAAATTTAAATAAGCTGCGACCTACAATATGCAGCCACCGGCCACATGTGGCTATTCATTACTGTATTGAATGATTCAGCCTCTCTGTATATGTAAATGAAGCATGCGTGTCCTGCATGTGGGTGTGGACATGCACATGTGACGTGACATACCCACGGAGGTCAGAAACCAAAGGCAGGTGTTAGTCATCTTTCCACCTCGTCTGAGGCAGGGTCTTTTCTCCAGTTCCTGAGCCAGGCAAGGTGGTCTGAGTGCTTGTGGTGCTCTTGCCTCTGACTCCTATTTCCTCTAGATACTCTGGGATGACAAACAAGTAGGCTACAGCTCTTTTCTGGGTCCTCAGGATCCCATCTCAGTCATCAGGGTCGGTTGCCAAGTGCTTTAGCCATGGAGACATCTTCCCAGACCTAATACTTCAGTTCCTTATCATCATAGTTCTGTCACATAGTTAATGGCTAGATAGTGGACTGTACCAGGACTTGCCACTGTCATCATCACAGAGCATTCTGTTGGACAACACAAGTGACAGACAGAGATGCATACAAATCAGAACTCCATCAGAACACTGTGCAAGTGAAACGTTAACAGGACAAACTGACTTCACTTTCTCACAATCCCTGAGACCCTTTCACCAATGATGAAGGGGCAGAGAGTCATCTGCCCCTTGCTTTATTGTTCTGGAGCCCCTGCAAACAGTCACCAACAAGGACGGCTTCAAGGATGACTTGATGTGTGCTATCCTTAGGGAATCTGGTACTGGTGCCTAGAGTCTGACACACCTGTGTCAGGATGAGCAGAGAACCACAACTCGAAGGTAGATCTTAATACTTATGAAAAGACAAACTAACATGACTGGAGAGGTTTCCACTGGCAAGTGTCGCCTTTTGTCGACCAGTACGTTCTCATAGGGTCAGAAATAGGAAAAACATATTCTCTATTTTTTTTTGTTTCAGTTTCACCTTGATGCCTTCACCTTCATTTCCCATCTTGGAGACAATACCATACTACTGGTTTTGGGTTTTGTTTTTAAATGTAGAGTGGAGGTTAATATGCTTTTCCTGTGATGGGCCAGAGATTAATATTTTAGGGTCATGAGGTTTCTATGGCAACTATGTGTGCTGCTGTAGCACAAACATAGCCACCGGACACACAGAAACTTAATTTACTCCAATAGACCCTATTGCCTTAATTCGGCACCTTTGGGTCACAAAGTCTATGTAATAACACACCCTGCCCCACTCCTCCAATATTTATCTTTTATTATTTCTAGAAATTTTATCATTGTATTTTTGAATATATAGTAGATCCTGCCAAAGATCTCATTAGACTTATAAATGTATAACTTAGACGTGTCAAAAATAATTTTTATTCCCATTTGTATTCAAGCTTCCTATTTAAAAACAAACATAATTCTTCATGGTGATTTTCTTTTCCTTGAGGAGTAAGCACAGAAAGGACACAGGCGCACACTGTACAATGAGTCACTAAAGGTGATGTACAGGTTAGGTCTAGTTAGGTTCAGTTATCTGGAAACTTTCCCTGCTGTTCTACTAATTTATGAATGGAGACAGAAACCTCAACTGAAAAGCTCTGACTGACAAATGCAATAGGCTCACCAAGTCAAAGACATGGATGTAACTGGGAGAGTCAGAGATGAATCTCTAAATACAATATTTGTTCTAGGAAACTGTGGCAGTCAATGGTAGACTAACAAGCCAGTTAAAAACCCACACACCCAGAGCAGTTCAGGGGTCATCTTTAGTTATTTAGACTGTCATTTCTTTTCACAAACATTTTGTGCTTTTACAGAGCCAAAGTACTGATAACCACTTCCTAGCGCTAGGAAGACAGCTCCGTGGAAACCAGTGCTTGTCAAGCGAGCATGAGGATCTGAGTTACAGTCCCCAGTATCAACATAAAATGCTGCACATGGCACAGATGCTTGCAGGCCATCAGTCTAGCTCCAGGCTTAGTGGTAGACTAAGGGAGAGTAACAGAGCAGAACATTCAACATCCTAATCTGGCTTCTGTGTACACACACACACACACACACACACACACACACACACACACACACTACTGACAAGATTGAAAGGTAACTATTTTGATATTTTTATATAGTTACAGGCTGCTAAGAAATTCAGATCATGGGACACACTGTAGAAGAGCACACAGGGGGACTTAGGAGCCAACAGCACAGCTGTAGCAGGTTCTCTATGAGGACCGCAGGGTCTGTTCCACACACTTCAGGATACAGGCATGCACAGCATCAAACACAAATGCATAACATTACGGATACTGGTGCAGCAGCAGGGAGTTGAGCAATCCAAACACATAAAATAGGTACTTAAAACAAAAAAAGAAAAAGGCTTAACAGCTTATTTGAAGAGAAAAACTATTTGTCTATTTATTAACTGTTATTATTATCCCTTCTATAAAATAACCACACATTATGGTTTCGTTTCTTTCCCCTCCAAACTGGTTGATTAGAAACATCAATATACAAGATAGGCACAGGTCTTTTTCAAAGAGCAAAACGTACACTGCTTACTGTTAGCTAACTGACAAAATTTCACGTTTACTTCTATTTACTGTTTAACTATTTTATTAATAGTTATTTAACTAGTTATTAAGCTATCAGGAAACAGGAGATTTAAAAAGACCTTGTTAATAGTCTTCACTCCTTGCCGTGTTTGAGAAAAGGTGTAGGATTTGATCTAGTCAATGCTTTATTTCTCCATTGTACATGTGGATTTATAAAATAAAGACTTTTTACTTTACCCATCTGTGAAATGTGTGAGGATAACGTGAAATGAACCAAGTGTGTCTTGCTATGTACTAGTGTACGGATGGGAAAACTGGTACACACAGGTGGCCCCTGCTATGCGGCACTGTGTTTGACTGCACCACAACGCCCTGTCTACTGTCAGAGACATATCTCTGGGCTTGTGTCTAATGTGTACAGTTTAGTCCTTCACTGAATCACTGCCACAGAAATGGTCACACGACAAGGCAGAGTAGTGCTGATCAATCCTGGTCAACTGCAGTTTCTTAAGCTCCGGTACAGAGGCTAGTGTCCTCACAAGAAAAGATGGTGAAGCAATGGCGAACCCAGAGAAACAAGAACCATGTGGCTAAGTAGCACTGAAAAACAATTTTATTTAAAATGTGTATGACTATAAATTTATCAAAATTAAACAAAAAAATCAAGTTAAGAAAATTCCCATCACAAAAAAGGACATCATTAGGAAGGCCACATTCTGTCCGATGACATCTCTCATCTTTCTGTGACAAACTGGTAGATGTGAGGTGGGGGGGGGAACAAGTGAAAGTCTGACCACCGCCAACAGGTCGATTGTCAGCGTGCCTTCACAAAATGGCTTAATTACACAGTTTCATAAAAATCGGCATTCAGAAAGTCTGACACAAAATGAAACCTTCCACTTCAAACCCGTGACTAAGGCTTCTGGCTGTAACTCAGTGTGAGGCAGACAGTGGATTTAACATTAAGGCACAGGGTAAAATGTGTGCAATGTACACATATTAACACGGGATGGCCAATATAAGCCACACTTTAGAACGTTCATGGGCTTTCTAAATGTACTGGAATTAGGAGCCAGTGGAGACCACTGTTCATAGAAGCTCAGGTGTCTTAGCTGTACCCTTCTGAAAGTCACTATGTTAAATACAATCCTGTCTGAACTTGTGAGTCCTGTAAAATTTTCTATTATAGAATAAATGTCCTTGAGAATGAACCTAGATCTGGCTTTACATACTGTACCTATGCACACTACTTGGCCACACTGACTGTGGCCCAGAGCTAGAAGACCCTGCTACTGAATGGGCAAGAGAGGGTGTGAAATTGTAAGGAGTGATTTTTTTTTTTTAAAAAAACAAATGACTACAGTATAAAATCAGTTTTAGGCACTCTGGATAGCGTATTTGAGAAAGTTCAGGCTTAATATGTTTCACATGATGATCCTTGTGTGTGTCCCCTTCCCAGTGAGAAAACAATTGCTTTCCCAGTGAGGGACATGCCCGTCTTCATGGGAGCCAGGGGAACCATCACTTCTTTGTCACACTGGCAACAGCTTTCTTGGCTGCATCCTCTAGATCCACAGCTGATGTAATGGGGAGTCCGCTGCTTTTGAGGATATTCTGAGCCTCCTGGACATTAGTTCCTAGAAGGGAGACAACGGGAATCAGTAAATTAGTCTGCCGTGGCACACCCAGTCAAGCTGGACAACTGGAATCCCAGGATGCCTGGTCTCCCTTGATGCCAACAATTTAAGTAGAACACATGTGGCTTTTTATTGCCCAGCTCCTCTGGCTTTTTCAGATACGCCCAGCTGACATGCTCAGACCCTCTTCTTTTCACTTTAATGAACTCTCATTAGAAAGACACTTCCTGTATTGTCTCTGGCACTCCAAAATGAGAAATAAGCATTCTTCCAGATCATCCACACACAAAAAGTTTCTCAGGCACTTGCTCAGTAAATTTGAAGGAAGAAAGTCTGAACTGGATTTGTTTCGTCGCTGAGTCTGGGAGGACAGGCTTGAAAGAAAAAGTGACTTAACCATGTCATGAAATGGCTCCTGTGTTCCTGTCCAGCAGCCAGCTGGACTTCTTTAGAACAAAGGCTCTGAATGCATGGCCATGGAGAACATGCCTTCTATGTGAGGCCAAATAAGAGCAGGCCCTTGGTCAGCACATGTCACTCAGAGACAACGCCCAGGGGAGTGGACTGTGCTGAGGAGGAAGCGCTGGGACACTGCATCTGCTATAGCAGTGGGAAGTGAACACTAGGTGTCACACGGGCTGCCAAGAGCCCCTGGGTGCAGTGACTGGGGGAAGGAGCCAAAGCTCTCACCTCTGCCATGCATTTAGAGAATGGTGTTTAGTTAATCACTTAACTTCCTTGAGTTTCAACTTAAAAACAAAATTATGAATGCTTTGCCTGCATGTATGTCCTTTTCCTATGTGCATGCTTGGTGACTGCAGAGGTCAAAGACTAAGGAATCTGCACATTAGCCTGCAGGGGTGGCTGTCACAGAGCAATGGCAGAGTGAAGCAAAACCCTGGCCTGAACTAGAAGTACATCTCTGGACCAGAAGTTTGATGTGTCACTTCCATCTCCTTCCACAGAGAAGTTGACTGGGATACCTTCCCTAGGTGCCCTCCAAGTTGGTCAGGGATAAAAACTAAGAAAAAGTACAAGAGCTTTTCCTTTCTGGCATTCTTCAGTCTCAGCACCTAGCTCCTCAGACCTCCACCAAGCTGAGGAAGATAACTGTTCCAGGTCTCTCTCCTACCCCTATCCTTGTATTTTGGGGGTTAGTTTTTTTCTTTTTCATAGTTTCTTTCACCCATTCTGAGAACTATTCACTCAGAATTCAATATCCACTATTACCTGAATTCTCCATGTGTAAGGACGAAATGCTGATTTAAAAAAAACTCACATATGAAGCTGCTTTTTCCTTGGCACCAACAACATAGATAATTCAGGTCCCTAATTAATATCATATGCAGCATCTGGGCCTAGGAGCAGTACTCTCAAGGGAATAAAAAGGGTTGAGTTGAAATTCACAAGTGCCTAGGCAGGCACCCAGAGCACCACTGGCCTTTGCCCTGCACACCCATGCGCTCCCTTGAAGCTGTCTCTCCCAGTCTCCTGGGTTTCCTTCCTTGCCACTACTTTCAGTTCCAGCTACAGCAGGCTTGTCAGAAGTGCTGCTGGAGTACTCCCTGATCTCTACATCGAAACAGGGATGAGTCCTGTGGGGCGGCTTAGTGACAGTATCCACAGCCTGCTACACATCCTTTTCAGTGCTAGGTTTGCTTCTCAGGGTATCTTGCAGTACCAGCCACATGTTACATGTGAGCTGACAGACTGGGTAAGGACAGCCACAGTCACAAATGATGCCTGAGGAGAGAGGTTTGGACAGATCCTTTTCTGATCATTTTGCAAATCTGAGGGTTCTCTAGAGACCTTGGCAATGACTCCATGTCCTGGTATTCTATTTGACCTGGCTACTCTTCAGGGCAGGCTCCAAGCTGCTAACAATTCTCTTATCATGCGGTGCCCTAAGTGAAGAGAGGCCTCACTCTTGTGTAACACTGGTGGGCGTGGCCACGGGAAAGGGTGAAGGGAACCCTCTTCCTTCCTCCTGGCAGCATCTTCAGTGGCACACCAAAATACCTAATTGCTTCATAATTTCAGGATCTACTAAAGTGAATTTTAATTACACTTGCTGTTATACTTTAATTACAGTCTTAATTATTAAGCATATACTAGCGTGCTTGGAAGAAGCAGGGTGTGAAGGGACTGTAACATTCAAAGAGCCCAGGAATAAACTGGACTGCGCTGAGACGCGGATCCAGAGGAAGCCGCCATGAACAGATGGAGATCAGGAGGAGGCTGGGCGGCCAACTTGGGACAAGTGAAGAGGGCATCATGGGGAAGAAGCCAGAGAAGGATGGCCATGTGAGGAGAGAGAGACAGGGTGGGAAGGCGTCCGTAGGTGAAGAATCGGGGAGCTTGCCATGTGGCCTCCGCACTGCCCTGTCCTTTCTCTTCTCCCTCTCTTGCCCTGCATGGCAAGGCTTTGCCCACAGCCTGGCCTGGCCAGCAATTACTACCGTTTGCTTCCTCCTTCTGGTTGAGAAAGCAGCTGGAGGGGAAAGAGAAGAGAGGTTGCAAAGAAAAAAGGAGCCAGTAAAAATCAGGTCACGGGAAGCAAGGATGCCCTGGGCAAACGCTTGTGAGTTTCTCCATCTTTTGGGGAATGGTATTATTGGAGCATTTGAGGCTTCTTTCTGCTTTCTGACCTCAATGGCTGACATCTATCTCAAGCCCCCTTTCTGACTTTATTTCTAAGTAGAAACCATCACAGCCACTTTAAACTCTGACATGGAATTAAGTGTTCTAAAGCAAGTGTTTATGCCCCCCCCCCCCACAATTACGACTGAAATCAATCACTTTCCCACACTTAAATGGTGCTGGTGATGTGCTTTAATATTTATTAAATGCTGCCATGCTTTTCAATAAGGCTGCAGGACAACATGCTTAATAACTACCTAAACACGTAACTGATCAGCTCAGCTGGCTGTCACTTCTGAATTCTGGCTTTTTAATAGTCGTTTGGCCATGTGGCTACCTACCCACTCTCAGGCCTTGACAATGACAGCGTGTAGAGAACCAAAGGGGACACTGGCTCAACACAGACTCTTGCTCGGCTGCTAGCAGACATGAGAAAAAGAATCCCATTAAACACATAAAAATGTCTCTGCTTCCAAGTGTTCTATAGTGGCTTCCTGCCACTGGGTGGAGGAAGAGAGCTGTAAACAGAGATGCAGGGGTAATTTATCAACACAAGCCCTGTGCTTTCACTATGCAGGAGAGATGACACTGGACAGGGCTGACAGGGTTTGGGTGAAGAGATACAGCCTCTGCCCTGCTCGAACTTAGGTCAGCCTTTACCCCAGGAGCAAGAAGAAAATCACTGTCCAGCACAGACATGTACAGAAGCTTCTTCTGAATTACTACTTTTATAGGAATTCAGATGTATGTATGTATGTATGCATGTATGAATGTTTTTATATACATGTGTGCGTACACATGTGTGCCCATGGAGGCCAGAGATCAACACTGAGAGTATTCCTTGATCATTCTCTACCTTATGTTTTCAGACAGGGTTTCTCACTGAACCTAGAGTTCAATTTACCAGAAGCCTGCTTATCTCCCTTCACTGTTACCACCATAGCCCAGCCCAGCCCGGCCCAGCTCAGCCCAGCCCAGACCAGCCCAGCCCAGCCCAGCCCAGCCCAGGGGTCACAAGTGTGAACTCTGCTGCATCTCCTGCTAACAAGGGCTCTCAGGATCTGAACTCAGGTCCTTGTGTTTGTGCAGCAGGCACTTTACTATAACTTAGCCAACTCCCTAGCCTGATCATTCAGGTTTTTTTTTCCTTTTTAGAAGAATACAATGTCATTATTAAATATATATTGACTACATGCTACCAGATTTTAAAAGAGACAATGAAGATAAAATTGAAAACAGTACAAGCTTGCTGCCTATATGTGATTATGGGTTCCTAAATATCATAAAACTCATTCCTCAAAGCAAATCTAAAATCAACAGCATTTTAGCCCCTTCTCACAGATAAAGTACCCAAGGTACCAGGGACTTAGCAGCTGACCTAATGACTCCCAGCAAGTTAGAAGACAGAAAAAGACTAGAGTTCAGATTTATCTGTAATCAAAACCACACACTGGCCATGCACCGTGGAACACCACACCAAAAAGAATTCTGGCAATTCTTTAAGCTAAGCCTTCACTTCATCTCACTGGGGGGGGGGGAAACTGAGGCTCAGGTACTAGGGAATATACTTGGTCAAGCAAGTATATTCAGTGAGCTATCACAGGCCAGATTCAGCCTCCTGCTCTAAATCAGGGCTGGCACACTATGGCTTTTAAGCCCAGTGCAGCCCACAGTCTCTTTGCATGCTACTTATAAGCTAAGAATAGTTTTCATATTTTTAAATAGCTGGGCAAAAAATCAGAATAATATTTTGTGATACATGAAAATTACATGAAATTCAAATTTCAGTGCCCATAAATAGAGATTTGATGGAGTAGGGCCAAGCTGATGCGCTCGTAGGCTGCTGATTGCTGTGCTCTGCCATGGCAAGCTAGGGCGGTGACACAGACAGTACAGCTCACAGGGCCTGAAAGGGTTCAGTTCAGCTCCGAGGCTCCTTTCATTTCTTTGGAGTAGAAACTCGGCACATTCTACAAAGTAGTGGGTTCCTGAGGGCCCTGTGTCCATGTGTCCTGCTCCTCCCCACAAGCCATCATCAGATAGAGTATGGCTGAGGTCTGGTGGACTGTTACTTAGATGACGTTTCAAATCTCTTTTCTCTTGTTATTCTTTTAGTAATGGAATGATTCAACAGACATACTGTGAAAGAGATCATGGACATATTTCCATCCACAGTAGCCCCAAAGAGCATAAGCATCTAGGAATAATCCTCACCAAGGAGGCAAAGGCTCTACAGTGAACTTTAAATCTCTGAAGAAAGACACTGAGGAAGAGACTAGAAAATAGAGAGGATTAGTAGAATTAATATTGTGAAAAATGATCATTTTACCAAAAGCAATTTATGGATTCAATGCAATTCT